GCGGGTGACCCGGGTGGGGGCGCGGGTCCCTGTGCGTCCCCAGGAGCTTGCCCACTCCTGCCCCAGGCTGCGCTTTTCTGGTCCCGGAGGCCCTGTCTTCTCTGCTTTCACGAGGCAATAAAAAGGTGCCCCAGGACAGACACATCTGGTGTTTGGGGACTATTTCGGGGCTGGCCCTTAGGCCCTGGAGCCCAGCCACTGCAGACACGTTTACCTGGGAGGCGGACAGGACACGCTCTGGTGTCTGGACCGGGCACAGGTCGGGCCCGTGTGGCTGGTGAAGGGGAACAGGGGGTGTTGGGTGGCTTTGCCGGGGTGGGGGCCAGAGAGCCGGTCCAGGAAGAAGACACGTGTCCGGCGTGGGAACAACACTCCTGCCGGAGAGCCTGCCGTGGACTGACACAGGCCCCGGTGTCCGTGCGTGTCTGTGGGAGCCGCCAGGGAGACTCAGGGAAGCTCTCTCTCTGGAAAGAGGTGGGGTGGGGCATGGAGGGCAGCCCACGGGCCGGCCATTTGGGAATTCGTCCCTAGCTGTGGTGGAGAGGCCTGCACTGTTTTCATTTCGTGCCAGGACCGTCTTCGCGCGCCCGGCGGGCCTGTGTCTCCTGACCCAGGAAATCCTCTGGCCGATCCTTATCGCAGGGGTAGGGTTTCACTGGGAGATCAGATGGGGCTGGGGGAGTGTTATCTGCTCCTTGATGTGTAGCCCTGGGGAGAAGGGTTTGTTTTGGGGGGGAGCCAGGAAGGCGGGTCCCTGTGGATTTGGGGGTGGGCCCCCCCAGAGAGAGCTCCCCGCTTTCTGTTTTCTTTTTCTGGCTCGAGGATGGGAAGGCCTGCGGAGCCGGTCCCCGCAGGGGGGTTGTGGGATGGGGGAAATGGGAAATGGGCCATCAGCGCTCTGCAGGCCCCATTCTTATTCTGGTCTGTGCAGCCGCCTCCCCGCCCCCACGGAGAATGCAGGGCCGGGGCTCTCCTGCCGGCACTCTGGGCCCAGAGCCTCTGGGGCGAGGGGAGGGGTCTCAACGGGGAAAGCGGGATTCACCAGTCAGTTCTTTGCTGGTTTCGAATTGCCCCTCATAAAAAGCCCCAGGGGCTCCCCTCCCCTCGACCCCCAGGAGGGAGTGGGTGGCTCACCTGCCCTGGCTTACCTGTCAGACTTTCCTGCTGGGAGAGTTGGGGTGAGAGGAGAGCAGGGCCTCCCTTGCTCCCTATTGCACCCCTAGGGGGTCCTTGTGACCCCCACCCCAGAGGATTTATCCTGGTCGCCTCCTCCCCTTTCTCAGACCTGGAAGCTGAGAACCAGAGAAGACCATGGCCTCTGGCTGAGCACAGGGCTGCACCTGTTGCTTCTAGAGCTTGCGGGGAGAGGGAGGGGTTCCCCCAACCCCTGTTCCCGCCCAGAGTGGAGAGTGGGCCACAGCGGGCTGCTGGGAAGGCTGTGAGCAGCTGTGGAGGATCAAGCTGCCCCGCAGGCCATTGCCAGCCCCGCTGGGTCAGTGGGGAGGGGCTGGGTGTGGAGACACCCCCTCCCCTCGCCAAGGGGTGTTTCCAAGTGGACCAGATGGGAGGCCAAACCCCAGGAATCAGAAATGAGTGTTTTTAAACAAAGTGGCTCCTCCTCCTGTGGACGGAGCTTTGTGATTGGCATGTGGGGTTTTGGGCTCCTCCCAGTGACAGGGCTGCGTTCCCATTTCACAGGTGAGACACTGAGCCTGCAGCTCCTGGGAGGTGTGGTTGGAGGCCCTGAGGCATAGGATTCCCTCACAGCCTGTGAATTCATTCTGAGTGTGCGGGCGAAGGGGAGTCCATTTCTCACGTGCGTGCTTGTGTGTGAGTGTGTGTGTGAGTGAGTGTGTGTGTGCCGTTGGGGCCTGTTTGTCCAGTGGCCGGAGCTTTGTTCTGAGCTGTCTGGCCCAGTGCCCGCGGGTCATTGAGTAAGCGATACATAAAGATCCCATCTCGGGCCATTAACTTTGCTCTGGGACTGAAGGCCTGAGGACTCCGTGGCTCTGCCTAAAAGACCAGGGAAGCCACATGTTACCTGTCCTGGGAGCAGTGGGGGCGCCCTCTCTGCCCGCTCTCAGCCACCAGCGGGAGGGAGGCCGCCTGTGCCCGCGCTGACCACCCATCGTGCTGGGCAGAGGGTGGGCTTGTCTGACCAGAAGCCATTTCTGCCGCCTCTTGTCTCCAAGCCGGGTCAGATTTCCGCCGGTGGGTGAGCGGGGAGGCCCCGTCCTTTGCTTCTGGGGCTGGTGGAGCCCTGGGCGGCGGTGAGGCTGAGCGGGGACACAGCGTCCAGTTGGAGGTGTCCCCTGTTTGTCATGCCTCCTAGGGCCTCCGTTTCCGTAGGCCCAGAGGGGTGCAGTGCCCCCTGCACACACGGGGGGAACTGCGTGTTGAAGTCAGCGGTCAGCAGTCAGCGGTCAGCCACGGGCTGTGGGAAGGCGCCGGGGACAGTGCTGAGTTCTCCCGGCCGAGGATGGGCCGGCTGCTCCCTGCTCTCCGGCTCCGCGATAGCAGGAGGGCCGCCACGGACGTGACTCATGAATGTCCCTCTCTGCGTGAAAGAGCGCTTCTTGTAGCAGCTGCTGCCGGGAAATTCTTACAGCATGAGCAGTTCTGTTCTGGTCTTATTTTGGGTCTCAAAAAAATAGTGGTCGTGGAACATTGAGTCACTTTAAGGAAAAGTTGGGTTCCGCTCAGACTTCCAAAGAGCGCGGCCCTTGCCCTTGGCCCCGTGGGCATGGTGCTGTTCTTGGTTTAGAACGAGTGGGCAGTGTCCGGGCCTCGTGGGGCCAGGGTGCGCCTGGAGGGCGGGGAGGGGCCGGCGGGGATCTTGGTGCTGCTGCTGACTTCTCAGGACCCTGCCCCTGGTCCTCTACTGGGAGGGGGACGGAGGGGAGGCCTGGCAAAGCCCCCAGCGGGGTCTGGGCAAGGGCAGGAAGGCCAGCTGACCTACCTTTTCCCTCATTCCTCTGAGAGACCTGGGGGCCCTGGGGAGCAGAGGCTGGGGGTGTGTGTGTTTGGGGGGCTCTTGCCAGCCCGGGGGACCAGGGTCCAGTTCTGATTGGAGCTCCGGGGCCCCCCAATCCCACAGCATGCTTTGGGGTACTGGCCCTTAGGGACTTGGGGGCCGAGGCCTTTTCTTCCTGCAAGTGCCTGTGTTGTCAGTCACCAGGCCTCCCAGCTCAGTCCTGCAGCTGCTCCCCACTCAGCTCAGTGGGGGCTCGCTCCCCGCTGGTGTTTATTGGGGGGTCTCCGCCTCAGTGGCCTTGCTTCGGGAGCAGTGGGGTTTGCTGTCTCCAGTGCCTCCACTCCACGGCTAGGACACTCCGTGAGGGTCTGGTGAGGGGGGGCGGGGGCGGGGGCGAGAGACGCAGGCACTTCCAGCAGCACCCGCCTTGCTGTCCTCCGTTCAGCCCCTTCCAAGGGGCCGTCTGAGAGGTGGGCCCAGCTGGGAGCCACTCGCCTGTGGGTTCTGGGTCTGTGGACCTAGAGGGCCGGCCTTGGGCTTCCCTACCTGGGCCTCCTGGTAGGAGGTGCCATAGGGGACACCCTGCCCCCCCGCCCCCAAGTCCACAGCGTTGCCGCGCTGTGCGGTGAGGGCACCACACGGGGGGGACTCCGTGTAGGCTTTGTGGGGTCAGGGGGATGCCGGGCGGCTCGGAGTCCCTCACACCCTGCACGTCCGGACGTTCCCCGTGAGGGAATGGAAGCCTCCCAGGGGACCCTCTGTCTTGGGGAGTGAGGGCGGGGCTGAGCTGCAGGAGGTGCTGTGGTAGGGCCTGGGGGGCAGCGGGTCACCGTGTCCTCTTTGTACCTTCAGGGGCCGAGGATGCTCTGGAAAGCAGCCTGAGGGCCCACGGGGGCCGCGCCCCCAAGCACACGCCCGAGAAGCGGCCTGTGCCCGTGCGGAGGAAGAGAAGCATCGGTGAGTGAGGGGCTGGGGGCTGGGGGGCCGGAGAGGGGCCCCGAGGCAGCTTCCCTCCTTCCTCCTCCAAACAAAGGCCCAGCCTGCTCAGGGGCCCCTCCCTGCTGCAGGGGTGTCTCCCTGCCCAGCCTGCAGAGAGCCCCTGGAGAGGGAGCCGTCATAAATTCCTTAAGTGCCGGTCTTGTTGGGGCCTGCTCCCGGGAGGCCCCGCTGGAAGATGCCGAGTTTCATTTCCAGTTCATCATGTGGAGCCCGGGCACTCCTGGCTGCGCGGAGGCCCCTCGTGCCCGCACCACCTCCCCCGCCCCCCCTCGGCTCCTGGGGCTCCACATCGGCCTGGGTTTGGGGGTGTTGGTTCTTGTCCGTCTCACAGAGCAGCCCAGGTCTGCTCACGTTGGAGCTCGGAGGGGCTCTGCACCTTCCTGCCCTGGGGGTGCTGTCGGCAGTGGCCCATCCTGCCCCACGCCACAGGGCTGCCTGCTGCCCGCGGCTGCTGCCTGTGGGCTCTGCCCGGCCTTGGGCAGGTGACCCCCACCCCAGCTTTAGTCCCTCCGAGAAGAAGGGTCCTGTGGCTTCTACTGCTAAGCATGGGGTGTGGGTGTGATTCCTGGCTCAGGTAGTCGGCCTCTCCCCAGTGATGTTCGCTGTGTTGTGACCACGTAGGTCACGTCCTTGCAGCAGCCGGGCTCCCTGGAGGGTGCAGGTCCGATCCAGCCAGGAGGGGCCTCCTCGAGTAAAATAAGGGGCTGGGCCAAAGGCCTCTCCCGGCTCCACCCCCCGCCCATCTGGTCCGGTGCTTCCCTCGGGGGGCAGCAGTGGGGTGGCTTATTCTCGGGGCGCAGGTCCCTGCTGGGTCTCCCAGGCTCCCCGAGGTCTTCCCACCCGTGTGAGGAGGGGTGTAGCAGCTGACACGGGCGGAGGCAGAGGACGCTCCTCCGTCTGCAGGGTCGTGCCCCCTCCTTGCTGGCCGCTGGGCTTGTGCGAGCCCGGGGTGTGCAAGTGGGTGCTGGGGCCGTGGTGGGCCCTGCACACTGCGGGGGCTCCTTCCAGTCCGGCCCTAGGGTCCCGGGGGCCCTGAGTGTTGCTGGAGGCAGCTTCGGTGGGTGGTCGCAGACCCTGCTGACGGGGCTCCCTGGGCATGTGTCTGGGGTCCAGGGGTGGGTTTCTCGTCTGTCAGTCCCACCCCGGTGTCCTGTCCGTAAGGCTTCGGGCTGGACCGTGGACGTGCGAGGAGCACAGAGCAGAGGAGATCCAGGTCCTCCTTGGTGGGCTCGGGGGCTGGGTGTCCGGGCCTGGCGTCTTCCATGTCCCTTCCTGCTGGGCCGGCCGTGTGACCCCTCCTTCCCTGGTTCTCCCCACTGGGCCCTTGAGCCCCTGCTCATCCTGGGACAGCTCAGCGACCCCTGTGGGGCGTGGGGACCCTGGGGCTGTGACATGTCCCATTGGAAGAAGCAGCAGCTGCAGGCCTGGTTGCCCGGGGCCAGCCCCAGCCCCAGCCCCCACCCCCGAGGGGCTGCAGCCCTGGCTGGGGGAGGGGTGGCGGTCAGTGGACAGGCATGGCCTCCACACTCACCAGGCTCTCCCTCTGCAGAGGAAGCCGTCCCCGCCGTCTGCAAGACCAGGACGGTCATTTATGAGATACCTCGGAGCCAGGTGGACCCCACGTCCGCCAACTTCCTGATCTGGCCCCCGTGCGTGGAGGTGAAACGCTGCACCGGCTGCTGCAACACCAGCAGCGTCAAGTGCCAGCCGTCACGCGTGCACCACCGCAGCGTCAAGGTGAGCCCAGCGCGGCTGCCCGGGCACCTCAGGCTCTGACCTGAGGGGCTGGGCCCGCACCGGGAGGCAGGGCTGTGCAGCCGAGGGTCTCGTATCCTGCCCCGGGCGGGTGTCGGGGCCCCCGGCACCACAGGAAACAGTCGGGGGGGAAGAGTCTTCACGGAGGCACCTTGGTGGGGGCTGGGTGCTTGGCAGGTGGGGTTGGGTCCCTCAGCCCGCACGGACCTGGGCATGTTTCTGTAAATCGGGGAGGGCACCCCCCTTTCATGGTGTCGATGGAGTGTTTCTCTGGGAGGGTCCCTCTGGGGCTGCTGCAAGGCCACGCCCCCCGTGTTTCAGGAGGGACCCGTGGCTGGGGCCGACTCTCGCTGGGAGCTGAGTGAGCCCTCCTCTTCCTCAGGCTGGGCCGGCCGAGGTGCCCTCCAGGGCAGCACTGAGGGGGCGGCGCAGGAAGGTCACGTAGGAGTTCCCTGAGCTCCCCACCTGAGTCCTGGGGGGAAATTCTGCTTCTTCAGGTCCCTCCAGGTGGCCAATGGCTGGCAGCTCCTCTTGGGACCTGGGTCCCCCTCCGGCCGCACTAACCTCATCTGTAAAATGGGTCTGAAGCTGGGCAACTGGGTGTCTGGGCTGGGAAACTAGAGAGCCAGCCCTGGAGGAAGGGGAGAGGGTTGGAGGGAGACTCGGGGCGCCTCCTGGCTTCTCGGGGGTGAGGCTGAGGCTGTGAGGCCAGTGGCTCCCTGTCTGGGCTCTGGGGTGTGGGTCCTTCCTGGGCAGCAGGCCTGCGCCCCCCACTGAGCCTCCCCGGCAGGTGCGCCCCCCCTCCTGGGTGGAAGGTGTCTGCCGGGGTGTGTAGAACTCACTCCTTGACTACGTGTTACTTCAAGCCCTCGGTGCCCTGCTGTCCACCCCTGGTGTCGGTCCCGCCCCCGCGTGAGGTGCAGGGGGAAACCTCCTCAGGGAGGACCACGGCTTGGCCAGCCACCTGTCACATGAGAAGGCCCTTTAGACCCAAACCGGGGGCCTCCCTGGCCTCGGGGACCAGGGCCCCGCGGAGGCTGAGGAAGCACATTCCACGGCCGA